TTGATATTCCTTGTTAATATTACTCTGATTAACAGCTTACCCGTGGAAATACGGGTTATCACGGGTAGAATTAATACCCAGTAACCAAATGCTTGTCGTAAGGGGCGACTAACAGGATTGTGTGACGCATTATCGTTGTATCCAAATAATATAAATGCTCGTGTAGTTGATCACTGGATTATACGGTCCAACATATCATTTACAGACCGCTGACTTGTAGCTGAAATATTGCTGAGTGCGGTGTTAAACACCTACTGGTGACAGCTAATATTTCAGTGTATTTCTACTCAATCAATCAATCAATCGGTATATATTTATGTATATATTTCTATTATGTGATATAATTCAGAAACCAAACAAATTTGTCTATTGTGAAATAATGCTGAGATTTAATAATTGGATATTCAAGTTAATCAATAATATAATAAACACGTATATTCATTTTACCATGTGTACGTCCTCTTTGTTCCATAATTTGTATATAAATATCTCTAACTTTCAACTCCTATCTCCTTGTCAGCTGATTTCTGTGGAGATGTTTTACACACCGTCTCAGCGAATAATACTCGCTATGGGTTATTATGAACAATGAGCAATTGTAACATACTGTTCATTTTATATGAAGTCAGACTTGTTAATATTACGAATTACAGAGTGTCGTCTTCTGTCTATAGTATATATGTTCATAATCAATGAAATATAACATGTAATACGTATCATCACAACGTGATGTCTAAGAACAAACATTCCACTGTGACCGTATGACTTATATAAGAGTAGTAATTTCCAGCCATTTTATTCGACATGGCTTCTCAAAGCAACATCGTTTCTTCTGCCACTTCGAATGATAGTGAACAGGATGAATTACCATGGTTTGTAGATTTCAATAGTCTTATAACCATGAATCCTGTTCAAGTTAAACAAATTGATTCGTCAACTGTAACACGAAGACAATACTCATGCAGTCATTGCCCTTACAAAACCATAAACAGAACAGATTTCGAACATCATGTATGGTGTCACTTACGATATTTAAATGAGAGGGTGTCCATGTCTACAAGTCTGGTTTGCTTGAACCCAGATGTAAAACACACACACACACACACACACACACACACACACACACACACACACACACACACACACACACACACACACACGAAATAGAGCTTCCATGCGGAGGGCTCGCTTTTACATAACAGATAATACCCTTAATTATGAGGGTGATATACTCGCGTTGCTCTGCACATTCATGTTGTAAGACTCACACGCTATTCAATATGAGGGTTACACATTTCATTTACTCGTTTTCTCGCTGTAAGAGAGTTTGTATATGTATGCTCGATATAGGACACTGCCTAAGTAAAGACCGGCTTAGCTAAACAGACCGGATAAGTAAACACTTTTATATGGTCCGGCAAATTTCTTCATTAATTATCACTATTAGAGTCTGGTTAACTAAACTCGGATAAGTAAACAATACCGCTTAACTAAAGGTCTTCTCAAGGTCCATTTGAAGTAAAGAGACTGGATAACTAGCTTTATAGCAAATGTTTCTGAAATATATTTAGAATAGTCGACTTAATACGTATCGCATCACAGTTCTAGAATTCAAAATTTGTTTCAACATTTCAAATGGTGTAATATTGACCATTCTAAATTTATTTCAGAAACAAAACTTACTAAAATAAGTTCATAACACAAATTTCGCACTTGGTTTTCATTTATTGCGCAAATTTCACTTTTATTTTACTGTTAAATTTCAGTCACCGATATCAAGTCTATTAACAACTCCTCTCCATCCACTACTAGCACACCTACATCCTCGCCTACTCCTAACACACCCATATCCTCGCCTACTCTCTCACACACCCACCTCTTCATCCACTGCTGACACACCCACATCTCCTCCTATTCCTCACACATCCACATCCTCTTCTGATCCTCACACATCCATCACTCCATCCACCGCCGAGTCACCTACACCTCTTCATCCACCGCTAGCACGTCCACATCTCCGTTTACTACTTTCTCAATCACAAATCAACCCTCGTCATCTACCAACACGTTTACTCACTCTGTTACATCCACCACTAATTATACCTTCAATACCACTGCTGGACCTTGCAGCAGGTATTTCATTTTATGTTTCATATTCGCAGTTGTTTATGTAAGAAAATCGATTAAATCTAAATTAACATGTGTCAATACAAATGACCCATGCACACTTAAAAGTGATAATGAAACAGAACTGTCTGATATTGTAGTGCTGCCTTTGTTTCAAATGAGGTATAGTTAAAGAGCTTCAAGTAACCTGGTGCGCCGAATGGGAGAGCATGTTTAACAAGACGACCATGTCTAACAAGACGACCATGTCTGAGAATGTATTGGATATATCTCTGTCACACACCAAAACCGGATCAAGCGGTTCTTTATTAGTAAAAGTGAATGAAGATAATTGGTGCTATGCTTTGAGCATCTGTAATATTGTTATGGTTTACAAATTAAAAATATATTACGCAACAGACAGGCTTCGGATGATCCTATTATTGTTGAATCGTGCATTCACATTTTAATATCACAACTAATCTTTTCTACAATTTGTTAATTTCTCAGCCTACTCCTCAATCGATCTGGAATCCACCAGCGACGACAACACTTTAGAATTGGAATTGGATCACTTACAAGGTAATGTATGAATATACTCGACAGTCCGGCTTAATTATCAATCGAATCAGTTGTTTAACCTTAAGATTCTAATCATGGCATATGTGTTATGTCATGTTGACTCATGCGCACTAGTCCATAATGGTTCTGACAGGGTGGTCTTCATAACATGACGTTTCATAAGTGATAGAAGAATATCATATTTAGATTTTCTACTTAGATTTGTTTTTTCAGGTTTACATAGTTTCCTCAAGAAGGTTTCTGTTCATCATATTACCCCTTTGAATCACTAAAGTATTTATTGTTTCAGGGCAAGTCACTACTTCTCTGGTCTTAATCGTACTGGCAGTGATTGGGGTAATCATCGGATACCGATCACCATATACAGGAAAAGATTTCCATCGCCTGTCTCCATCGTGCAGGACGCAGTCGAAATAAAGACAGAGAAGCGAGTCAACGTCAGTTCACGGAAATGGTGGAGCGTCGCATGAACAAGTTCCTGACTGTGAATAACAAAGAAACCTCCCACGCTACACCTCCGACCTGGAATGACGATGCCATTGAAGAAACCTCACAACCAACGCCGTCATGTTCGTCACAGGCAGTCACACAACCACATTCACAGGTGGTTAAAGCGCAGGTGCACCACAAGACAGACAAAAGAAGTCCCTTGAGGTATCTGCAGTCTCTTACCCCACCATCAAGTGACTGAGCTATTCAGTTAGTATGAACGCGTGAGGTTAATTAAAGTTGAAACACTTTCCATCACGAACAGTGTTTTCACTGACCTACCTATCACCAAGAATTTGATATCAGTCATTTGAATGTTCATAACTTCTTAAAACATGTGGAAAGTATATTAATAACTCGGGCATAACGATCTTTTCACTATTTTCTGTCTTGCAATCCCTTTGAATATACACCCATCACGACTTGTAGTTTTGTAGAAATATATCTCACGATTCTCATTTTCAAAGCTGCGACTTTCCTGTATATAAGAAGTGAATAAAATCATATTGGTCAAACGCTAAGGCTTATCTATTGATTTCACCTTCTGCTAACGGAAACGATAAAATATCTTTTTGTTCTAGTCATATCTCATTCGAAAATTTGAGAGATACCTTTGATTTTATTTTTTCAAAACTTGTAACACACCAACATATTATTCTTTTTCCGTGTATGAGACAATTCAATTTTGCTCTTTTCAAAATTGTTGTGTGACGTTAACGGTAAATTTATTAACTTGGGATGTAGAAATTTCAGATGAAAATTTTTACAAGAATTTGTCTCACAAAAACAAATTTAAAGAAATTTACTTAGGTCTTCTTGAATTTCAAGTTTACCAAACCACTCAACTGATCCTGGATGCATAGAGGTAAGTGAATTTCATCAAATGTTCCATTTGGAGCGTAAATATGTTATCGTTTATATATATATATACACGATTGTATTGTTATCTATGCATATACGAGAGACCGCGATGTCACGGAACTATCTCATTTGTCGCATCTATATGACATAGCCGACGCTAAAGCGACTTCAATGTAACTATCTTGGCTGAAACCAAGCTTAAGTTATTGTCACATGAACTAGATGCTTATTATTATTATTATTCATTTTATTTTTTATTTTTTATTTTATTTTTTTAATTTTTTTCATATCCAGACTTTCATATCTTTGTTATTATGTTATGTTTTGAAACTATTGATCAAACGCTATGGCTTATCTATTTATTTCACCTTCTGCTTTAGGACACCATTTCGATATAGTTAACGGAAACGATAAAATATCTTTTTGTTCTAGTCATATCTCATTCGAAAATTTGAGAGATACCTTTGATTTTATTTTTTCAAAACTTGTAACACACCAACATAATTATTCTTTTTCCGTGTATGAGACAATTCAATTTTGCTCTTTTCAAAATTGTTGTGTGACGTTAACGGTAAATTTATTAACTTGGGATGTAGAAATTTCAGATGAAAATTTTACAAGAATTTGTCTCACAAAAAACAAATTTAAAGAAATTTACTTAGGTCTTCTTGAATTTCAAGTTTACCAAACCACCCAACTGATCCTGAATGCATAGAGGTAAGTGAATTTCATCAAATGTTCCATTTGAGCGTAAATATGTTATCGTTTTATATATATATATATATATACACGATTGTATTGTTATCTATGCATATACGAGTGACACTCCATGTCACGGAACTATCTCATTTGTCGCATCTATATGACATAGTTACATTGAAGTCGCTTTAGCGTCGGCTATTTTGGCTGAAACCAAGCTTAAGTTATTGTCACATGAACTAGATGCTTATTATTATTATTCATTTTTTTTTTTATTTTTTTTTTTATTTATTTATTTTTTTTCATATCCAGACTTTCATATCTTTTGTTATTATGTTATGTTTTGAAACTATTGATCAAACGCTATGGCTTATCTATTTATTTCACCTTCTGCTTTGGGATATGATTTAAGCTATAGTTAAAGCAAACCATTGAATATCTTTTTTGTTCTACGCATATTTCATTCGAACATTTGAGAGAGATACCTTCACATTTATTTTTCAAAACTTGTATTACATCAAAATAATAATTATCCTTTTCGTTGTATGAGTCACTTCAACTCTGTCCTTTGCAAAATTGTTCTGTGACCTTAAAAGTAAATTTACTAACCTGGGAAATCGAAATTACAGATGAAAATTTTAGCACAATTTATCTCTCGCCAAATGAATTTAAAGACATTTACCTAGGTTTTCTCAATTTCAATTCGACCAAACCGTTCGATTCATCATGAATACATAGAGGTTAGTCGACTTTTATCAAATGTACCTCTTGTCACGTGAATATGTTATCGTTATATCAGCGGATGTATGTTATCTATGCATATACGTGTCAACGATGTCGCTGAACTATCTCATTTGCCTCATCTATATGACATAGTTACATTGAACTCGCTTCAGTGTCAGTTATTTTGTCTGAAACCAAGCTTAAGTTATTGTCACATGAACTAAACTGAGGGGCAAAAGAAACGTCCCCAAAGTAAAATTGTACAAAAACATTTCTTCTGTTTCGTTATGACGGAAATTTATTTAGGAACACATCTCCCGAACGCATCCCCACGTCTCACAGAAAGGAAATCCACGTGGAGTTTTTTGTAAGCATGAAAATTGCTTTTATTCACGTTTTTGCATGCTTCTGTGGAAACATACCCGTAAGAAAGTACAGTATAAAAATTATGCCTCGACTGTTCGAATTCATCACTTCAATACGTTGGACACAAAGAACATGCCTCGACTCACGGCAGAACAGAGAGAACGAGCTATTGGGATGTTGCAGCTGGGTGCTTCTCACAGTCACGTTGCAAGAATCATGGGTTGCAGCAAGAAAACCATCACCAGACTGATGACACGCTTCAGAACAACAGGTCGGACTGCAGACAGGCCTAGGACAGGGGAGACCACCTGTAACCACCCCTCAGGAAGACCGCCATTTACGGGTGCTTCACTTGCGCAACAGATTCCTGACTGTGACGTCATCAGCAACAACCAGCCTTACCCATCCAGTCAGTAGAAGGACCATATCCAGACGACTCCGCCGATTCGGTATCAGAGCCTCCAGACCATTCCGGGCGGACGTTAACGCGGAACATCGACGCCGCCGATTGGCTTGGGCACGTAGAGTTCGGCAGTGGCAGCCGCGGAACTGGCGCCGGGTACTCTTCTTCAGTGCGACGAGCCGCTTCCAGTTGAACAAAGCTGATGGTCGGGTACGAGTCTACAGACGTCGGAACGACGCGCACAGCACGCTGTTGCGCTTCAGGAAGTTGAGACGTTTGGCGGCGGTATTGTGATGGTGTGGGGAATTTGTGGCGAGAGGAAGACTGACTTGTTGGTGATAGAGGGAAACCTGAATGCCCGTCGATACATTGATGTTGTTTTACGACCTGTCGTGTTACCCTTCCTCCAGCAGAATCGAGGCGTGTTGTTTCAGCAGGATAACGCTACTCCCCACACTGCTGTTGTTACCCGAACTTCCTGAACAACAACAACGCGTAAACGCCATTCCTTGGCCAGCAAGATCCCCGATTTATCACCTATTGAGCACCTATGGGATCATCTCGGCCGTCAGGTTAAGCAACGTCAACATCCCCCACAGACAAGAAACGCCTCGCCAAGCTCTACAGGAAGAATGGCGCCGCATCCCAGATCACGTGATCAGACGTCTTGTGCATTCTGCACGACGTCGCGGTGGCAGCATGTAACGCTGCAAGAGGTGGACACACTCGCTACTGAGGAGTTGGACACTCAAAGACACTCTGTCAGTACTGATGTGCATGTGTTGTCATGATCGAAAACCGGACATTTGAACCTCCTGTGAAAAACGTCACAAAAACTCTACTTACAGCAAATTGTTTCAATTGTTCTGTAATGACAGTCTGCATAATATGTTCAAAAATTATATCAAACATTTCAACATTGAATTGCACGTGTTTGTATCATTTTATGATAAAAAAAATGATCGGGGACGTTTCTTTTGCCCCTCAGTTTAGATGCTTATTATTATTATTATTATTCATTTTATTTTTTATTTATTTTTTTTTTTTTTTTTGTTTTTTTTCATATCCAGACTTTCATATCTTTTGTTATTATGTTATGTTTTGAAACTATTGATCAAACGCTATGGCTTATCTATTTATTTCACCTTCTGCTTTAGGACACCATTTCGATATAGTTAACGGAAACGATAAAATATCTTTTTGTTCTAGTCATATCTCATTCGAAAATTTGAGAGATAGCTTTGATTTTATTTTTTCAAAACTTGTAACACACCAACATAATTATTCTTTTTCCGTGTATGAGACAATTCAATTTTGCTCTTTTCAAAATTGTTGTGTGACGTTAACGGTAAATTTATTAACTTGGGATGTAGAAATTTCAGATGAAAATTTTACAAGAATTTGTCTCACAAAAAACAAATTTACTTAGGTCTTCTTGAATTTCAAGTTTACCAAACCACTCAACTGATCCTGAATGCATAGAGGTAAGTGGAATTTCATCAAATGTTCCATTTGGAGTGTAAATATGTTATCGTATATATATATATATATACACTGAGGGGCAAAAGAAACGATACCAAACTTTAATGGGGACAAATTGGATTTGAACTCAGACTTTTAGGTGGTTTGGAACAGAAAACCTTCGCACGAACGCAAACTTAAACGGACCTGCGCCAAAATACATGCATTTGGAAATGGAAAGTCATGAAAAATGCATTTGATCAAATTTTTCATGCACGTGCAAAATGACGTGCATGGGTCGTATTGAGTATAAAAGCACATGGAAATGTTCGCCAGTATCAGATTGCAACGTTAACATCATCGACCATGCCAAGATTAACAGCAGAGCAAAGAGAACGGGCACTTGGTATGATCCAGCTTGGTGCGCACTCCACGACCATGTTGCCCGAATCTTCAACTGTATCCGTTTGGCGACATCACCAGGCTTTATGGCGCGTTACAGGCAAACAGGCAGAACGCCGGACAGACCCAGGAGTGGTAGGCGCTTCCCGTCACGCACCGCCCGCTGAAGACCGCTACCTACGTGTGTGTTACACTTTACGTAACAGGTTCCTCACGGTGACGACATCGGCAGAGACAGCGCTCGGCCATCGTGTCAGCAGACGAACGGTGTCTAGGGAGGCTACGTTTAACGACCTTCGCGCGCCTACCGACCCTTCCGTGGCATAGCACTGAGCCGTCAACATCGACGCGGAACGTCTGAGATGGGCACGCCAAGTTGCAGGCTGGCAGAACAGGCAATGGGCTCGAAAGTACTCTTTACAGATGAGAGCAGGTTCCACCTTTAACAGACCAGACGGCAGGATACGGGTACATCGACGCAGAGGTGAACGTACTGCACGTTGCTGCGTACAAGAAGTGGAGCCCCACGGGGTGGAAGCGCCATGGTTTGGGGAGGCATAATTGGAGACAGAAAGACAGACTTGGTGATCGTAGACGGTAACTTGAATGGTCAAAGGTACATCGACCAGGTTCTCCGACCAGTCGTCTTGCCATTCCTGCAGCAGAACCCCCGAACTGTCTTCCAACACGACAATGCTCCATGCCATACAGCACATGCGTTAGGGGTTTCCCTTAACGCTAACAACGTTCACGTCTTACCATGGCCAGCATCGTTCCCCTGACCTCTCCCCATTGAGCACCTTTGGGACCATCTTGGGAGGCAAATTCGCGCCAGACCACATCCGCCTGCCATCAACAGAGAGCTCTTGCCAGAGCACTGCAAGACGAAAGTGGAACAGGATCCAACGTCCGGTGATCAGACGTCTGGCGCCATCTGCCCGACGTCGAAGTTGAGCCTGTATCGATGCTGGAGGAGCACACACTCGATACTGACTCTAACTTGTGGTAAAATGTGCTCAAATGACTGTTTCAGTGGGACTGTGTAAACTTGTACGTGATCGAATACTGGACAATCGACCCCCACCCTCTTTAATTGTTGAATATCTGTACCTTCTTTGGTTATGACTGTATGAATTTACGATATGTTGTAGTTGTTTGATTGTTCTGAAAATATAAATTGTCACCTTATGCTTATGACGTCTTGTTTTTCTCACGTTGTGAAATTTACTTGGTATCGTTTCTTTTGCCCCTAAGTGTATATACACGATTGTATTGTTATCTATGCGTCGATTGTCATCGTCAATGGAAAACAATGCGTTGGTGAGTATTTTAGGCATGTGTTTTTTCATACTCCGACTTTCATATCTTCGTTATGTTATGTTTTTTGTGCTTTGATAGTTGTAATCGTCAACGTAAAACAATGTGTTGGTGAGTATTTTAGGCATGTGTTTTTCATACTCCGACTTTCCACATCTTTTGTTATGTTATGTTTTTGTGCTTTTGAAACTAGAGCAGCGCATAACTTGACTTTTATTTTCTTAAAGTCAGTGAGTTGAGTTTCTGACGTTTTTAGTCATATTCCTGCTAGATGTTGCTAGTCTGTATTAATCGAGTCCGATGGGTCAATTCATGATGATCAACACCATGAGCATCGATCTGTGCATTTAGGAATCGATCACACGTGTCAACCTAGTCAGCAGCTTAACCTGCTCCAAAACGGTGTAAAGCTCAACTCACTCACTTACAATTTTAGTTACGTTTGAATCTACTATTTTGTTCAATTACTAACCGTAATCTTGTTCACGACTACAGTCCAGATGTCTTCATCGGCTACGACACAGTACACTTCAAGACCCACTACCCTTCCTTCCTCCAGCACCCACTCACCCTTCCTTCAATACCAACACTACCCTTCCTTCAATACCTACTCCAACACCCACTACCCTTCCTTCAATACCTACTACGAAGCTTGTTAGCAGGGTGCGACTGTACATAGACACCAGAGTGCTGAACCAACTTGCTATGACCACTCATAAGCCATTACATACGTGAGCATGTTAACGCGGTGTGACTGTACACACCCCTTAGACATCAGTATAGCAACCATATCTGTATTTATCTGTTTTATATTTTCAGCGGACATGGTTACTCCGCCCTGACGCTGATGGTTGCAGTCATTCTAGTCGGAGTAAGTGATGGCGTCGCGGCGCCATATCCTTAGGTGGAGCTCTGAACATCCGTTCACGAATCCGTTCCGTCAGCGCGAGACTCAGAAGAAGTCCACGACGACAGCTTACCATTGTCGCACAGACCTACTGGACGACGCTCTCCAACCTCATCGCGGGACACCTCTCCGCTCTCCAACGCCGCAATCTGCTGACCACGCTCTCTGTCTCCACTCGCCTACCGACCCCATCACGCCTACCGACCCAATCACACCTACCGACTCCATCACTTTGATGACCCGTATCACATCGACTTGACCAGATCTCACTGACCCCATCAGCCAACTCAGTGTCTGAATCGTATCATTACTTGGTCTCATCACCTTGTTCATCGACCACCTCTGCTGAAGTACAAGTTGAAGAAGTACAAGTCGCGAACTAACGTCACCCACCAAGCGGCTGCTGAAGAAGAAGAAACATCAACACCACCACAGTCTGCTGCTCATTTGTGTGATATAATACAGACACTTCGTACGCGAAGACGTGAAGAGAAATATGGTCGGAGATATGCAGATAAGTAGGTAATAAGTAATCTGCCATACATACATTACACAGCATTCGTCATACCCACACAAAAGAATTCCTCACCCAAACAATAGCATTCCTGAACCAAACAAAGAAATTCCTACAGGCTCAGCCTGTTGTTACAACAAAAAGAAATTCCTACAGGCTCAAAAGAAATTCCTTAAGGAACATAGAGCAGGACAAAGACATTCCTTAAGGAGCGTAGGAGTAACCATAGAGGTGAAACGACATTCCTACAGCTGCCTCCTCAGGTATATACAGGTGCGCTAACTCACATTCCATAGATACGACATTTGTCAGTACACGTTCCTACTATTCAAATATCAAATTCTTATAGTTTTTCCTTGTTTTATGTAAAATAAGCAATGCAAGTTGTATTACACTCCATTTAATCATGCTCACTTCAAAAACAGTTTTACATGTAGATAACAGATACGTAACTATGCGTGAAAGGGTTAATCGCACTTATTCACCACATGCCACAGACTGTCTTTTCATTGTAGCTATATCACTGTGCCTTAACATATTGGATGAAGATAACTATTCAATTTGTTTTATGCCTTGCAAATCATTTAACCCTGTATAAGTTTTAATCCGGTTCATTATATATCATTTTTAAATATACACAACACCTAACTGCGTAGACAAAAGGGTTAATCATGTTAAAATGAACACATTACAGTCTCCTGACAGTTATGCCCGCATCGTGTTATTGCATGTTTACATAACGTTGTAATGTAGGTCGTCTTTTTCACCTTAAGCAGAGCATACCGAATATCAACAAAAACGTCTGCTTACTAGCACACAAAGAACGTCTGTCAATTCAAGCATGTATTTGACGTCATGTTTGTGACTGAGTTAGTTGTAAACTCATGACGAAGGAATGTTTTTTACAGCATGTTCATAATCACGATTTTTAAATATCACAAATAAAATCGTGAGGGACGAAAACTTTTTACATTTATTTATCTATGACTAGTGGTGTTTTTTGAAATCATATGATGGGTTTATGACATCAGTAAAAAGTCGTCACACAAAATGTTGTGAAATTTGGATCACGATTCTAGTTATTTTATTGAAATTATGCTCATGCGCTGGTTCAAAAATAAATTTTGCAAATTCACTTTATGCTATATAAAGAAATGTAGACTACAAATTCTCTACTATTAGCTTCTCTTATACTATGACTAGTCAGTTTTTTATTGACGATCACCTTGGTTTCGTTCTTCAGAATCCAGCTTCACAGACATATATATTGTGTGACACGGTAAAACGTCAATTGAAGAAATTGTTATTGTATTTGTTAGAAATTCTGGAAATCATACGATCGATTTCAAATTTCAGGTACAAATATAAGTTCATCACAGTACGATCTGCATACCTGTTTGACACAAAACTGTGAGTTGTTGTTCAGGTTCGATCCTCGAACACAAAGTGTTTTTATTACAAGCGGTGTTTCGTAATCAATTTGCTTTTTCTTACAATGGAATAAAGCTTATTGTGGAAGCGCTCATTAAAGAAGAGGCGGAGTTGGAGATCGAAGCATTTCAACAGCAGTTTCCTTTGAAGGTAAGTGAATTTTAATTCCAATAGATCAAATTTAACATACACTCTTTACTCTGTTCGTTGAAAGTTTTATATAGACCAAAAACTTAATTTTTGTTCATAGTTGTTACCTTGTAAAATAGAATTACATCACCCATCAGTTTAAATTGTTATCACATTCTGTCTTCCGGTGTATTGCGATATCATTTATCTTGTCAGCGTGTTATGAGCGGTGAACGACCGAGGGTTGTTACCAGGTCAAATTTATCTCATTGTTTGCTCATATGAGCGACGTATAAAGTGTTTATA